TTTTTATAAATAATCTAAAAATCCATTTCAACCCGTGCAATTCTGTCCAAAAACCAACTTTCTAGCTCATCTAGAACTCGAGATACGGTCATTTGAAGTTTCCGAGGTTAGAGACGCAGCGTGTCTCGTCGTCTGCGTCTCTAGCCTCCTAAACTTAAAGCGGCTCTATCTCGGTTCCTAGACGCGCTAGAAATGTGATATTTAGACAGAATTGTAGCGAATGTTGCCTATTTTAAAACCAACAAATTTTTTTCTGAAAATTCTAGAATGGTTTTCAGCTACGTCGACAAAAAGGAACAGCAACGGACAAATTCACGCCAAAGTCTTGAGCGATATCTGTTCTATTTTAATAGATACAGTACGCATGAGCAAAGTTTGCAGTTGGAGATGAAGGTGAGCGGGAAATTCAAATTTTGGACAATTTTTAGTGAAAAATAGTCAAAAATGAAGTTTCAGTGAAAAGTAGCCCTACAACAATGTTTCAATTTTTCCGATTTGTCTGAAAATTTCAAAATATACGAAACAAAAATAGAACTTAAATTTTTTAGTTGACAACTTTCTTGTAATTTCTTTGGTTTTCGAGATATGCGCCTTTAAATATACAGTAGCCTCTTCGACGCACAACATCGGCTTATAAGCGTCAATATTTTCAAAGGCGTATATCTCAAAAACTTGAGAAGCCAGAAAAAAGTTGTCAACTACAAAATTAAAGCTCTATTTTTGTTTAGTTTGCTCTAAAATTTTCAGATGAATTGAGAAATTTTGGACTACTTTTGTAGGATTTCAAATTCGCCAAATCCTCACCCCAAAAAAAGAGGTTAAAAATTCGCGTCCATGTTGAGCTCAATTATCTCGCTTCCTGTGAATGATATAAAAAAGTGATCAACTAATAAAATGTTTATTGTAATTCGATAAACATTTTATCAGTTAAAACTTTTCAGCTCTTATTGATAAAAACCGAGATAATCAAGTTTAAAGGTGGACAATCAACATTTTATTTTGGTGATTTGCTCGAACCGTAGGGTGCACTTTAAGCCATTTTATCTCGGCTCCTGTGATAGATATCGAAAAAGTCTACTGATAAATTGTTTATTAGATTATCAGAAACATTTTATCAGTTGACAACTTTTTGATACCTCTCATAGGAACCGAGATAATTGAGCTCAAAGTGCATGAGCTAATTTTAGAGCACTGCAAATTTCAACAACTTATAACTTGCTTCGTTTTTGCAATTTTCTAACCAATTAAAATAGAAATCATAGATCTCAAAAAGTTCTTTTCAATGTTACACAATTTTTCAGCTCAAAAAGAAAGTGGCCACCAAAATGGACCAGATTGCAAACGCTACAAAGGCCTATGTCGAAGGCAAGTGCCTGGAACAGGGCGTGGAAGTTCTCTCCCAGTGCCGTCAAACACTGATGTACTCCTACGTCTTCGCCTTCTTCCTTCAAAAGGATAACAACTCTCAAATTTTCGAGGACAACCAAAAAGATCTGGAGGCAGCGACTGAGAATCTTTCAGAGCTATTGGAGAAGGATATCGACGGAGACGACTTCTCGAAGTTATTCAAACAGGTTGGTTATTGTGTTTTCTGTAATTTGGTTTATAAATGATCTGAAAACCCATTTCAACCTCTACAATTCTGTCCAAAAACCAACTTCCTAGCTCATCTAGAACTCTAGATACGGTCATTTAAAGTTTCCGAGGTTAGAGACGCAGCGTGTCTCGTCGTCTGCGTCTCTAGCCTCCTAATCTTTGAGCGGCTCTATCCTGCTTTCTAGAAGCGCTGGAAATGTGATGAATTGGAAAAAAATGTTGTCCATACCCAGTATACCCAGCTCTATTGAGTTACGGTCATCCTGTAAACTGGCACCAAAATAACATTGATAAACAAAAATTTTAAAATTTTCCTTTTCCCAAAAATGAAAATTTTCATAATTTATCTGAAAATCCATTTCAAACCCTACAATTCTGTCCAGAAACCAACTTCCTAGCTCATCTAGAAATCGAGATACGGTCATTTGAAGTTTCCGAGGTTAGAGACGCAGCGTATCTCGTCGTCTGCGTCTCTCCTGAACTTGAAGCGGCTCTATCTCGGCTCCTAGAAGCGGTAGAAACGTGATTTTTAGACAGAGCTGTAAGAATTTTGGTCTATTTTATAATGACAAGTATTTTTTCTGAAAATTCTAAAAATATTTTTTTCAAAATTGTCTATTTTAGGTCCAAGACAAATCTCGCTACGTGGACGCTCGTCGGAAAGTGCTTTTAGAACACTGCACCGAAGGATACGACAAGAATTTTTGGAAATTCACAACTGCCGCATTTCGATAAGACTTTTCTGTGATATTTAATTGTTTCTCATTTTCTGAAATTTCTTATTTTTGAATTTTTTTTGATTTTCCGATTCTACGTTACCGTATATCCTCTAATAGGAGCACATCTCAACTGTCAAATTTCAGCTCAATTATCTGAGTTCGTATGAGAGGTATCAACATTTTTAAAATTCATAAATTGTTTATCATAATATAACCTACATTTCATTTGTTAAGAAAATTTTGATATCTTTTATGGGAACCGAGATAATTGAGCTCAAAGTTAACGTATTTTCATTCTATGGTATATTAATGCATCTCATGTTTCATGCCATTCCTCTTCTCGTCTAATGAACTTTAATTTGTTTTTTTTTTCTCGGAAATTCAAAATTTCTAACGGTCTGCGTCTCCGTGATTCTCATTCTTGCTCATTTTGAAAAATATGTTCAGGTCCGATATACAAAAACGTATTTTTCGTATTGATTTTCGGTCATTTGAACCATTTTCCCAGATTTTTAAAATGAATAATCTAAAAATCCATTTCAAACCCTACAATTCTGCTTAAGAACCAACTTTCTATCCCATCTAGAACTCGAGATACGGTCATTTGAAGTTTCCAAGGTTAGAGACGCAGCGTATCTCGTCGTCTGCGTCTCTAGCCTCCTTAACTTGAAGCGGCTCTATCTCGGTTCCTAGAAACGCTAGAAATGTGATTTTTCGACAGAATTGTGGGAAATTTTGACTATCAAACAATTTTTTCAAACAATTTTTTCGCAAAAAAACATATTTTAAAAGTTACTAGAATTGTAAAAATGGCCGAAAATCAACCGGAATGTTTTTTGTATATTTTATTAACCGGTAATGTATCTAGATTCAAAGAAAAGGAATTTCAGTGTTTCCTGGAAAATGACACAACTGGAAATCAGCTATCAAAGTGAACCAAAACTAATCAACAACACTTTCGAAGCCTTAGACGACTCTGTCAAAAATGGCATTCAATGGTAAATAAACTTTGAGCTCACTTATCTCGACTTTTGTGAGAGATAACAAAAAGTGATCAACTGATAAAATGTTTATCATTATATCACCAATATTTTATCAGTAGACAAAATTTTGGCATCTTTTATAGAAACCAAGATAATCGAGCTCCAACTATAGGGATCGGAAGTGCGGATGACCGCGCAGCGCAACCTATATTCTTTGAGGCTCAATTATCTGTACTTATGTAAGAGATATCAAATGGTGATCAACTGATAAAACATTGATGACATTATGAAAAAAATTCTATCAGTTGAAATTTTTTTAATACTTTTCATAGGAATCGAGATAATTAATCTTACAGTAGATGGCTTGGTAGGCTGACACATGCTCAAGCGAGCTTTGGCTTCCATTTCAATTGGGAAGAGTTAGCAAATCAAGGAGCGGACCGTCTATCAGGATATATCATTATCAAGGAGTCCACTAACTCCTTCGCACCACAAAAAACAGAAGTCGACATTACAAATACTTCGATTACCATGATGACACCGTTTAGTATGACTCAACCTTTGAAATATGTCTTCAGCTTTGAATATTCTTTGACTCCACATTACAAGGAACTGAAGAAAGTGTCGTATGATGAGCTTTTTGCTCCATCTGACATGACTGATGCGGTTCTGGTGGTCGAGGAAAAGAGGATCCATGTTAATAAAGCGGTGAGGAACATAAAATTGATTTTCGGTCATTTTGTCATTTTTGGAATTTTTGAAAAATTTATTTTAACACAAAAAATAGACAAAATTTCCTACAATTCTGTCTAAAAATCACCTTTCTAGCGCTCTTAGGAACCGAGATAGAGCCGCTTCAAGTTTAGGAGGCTAGAGACGCAGACGACAAGACACGCTGCGTCTCTAACCTCGGAAACTTCAAATGACCGTATCTCGAGTTCTAGATGAGCTAGAAAGTTGGTTTTCGGACAGAATTGTTGAGTTTAAAATGGATTTTCAGATTATTTATGAAAATTAAAATATATGAAAAATGTGTTTTTGATGTCATTTTCAAGTTTCTAAGATTTTCGACTCATATTTAAATGTTGAGATTAAAGAGCGTTACAAGCATTTTCGTCGGTCACTACCTAGAAACCACCATAACTTTCTTCAGAATTGAGATTTTGAGATGATCTCAAGAGAAAAAATATAGACTTTGAAATGCTCTACAAAATGATATAAAACACTACTAACTGGGAATTGGGATTTTTTTGGAAATTTTAGCTTTGTTGAATAAAAGACACATCAATCTGAAAATAACTCTTTTTTCGGTTACAAAATAGACGAAATCCCCTACAATTCTGTCCAAAAGTCACATTTTCTAGCGCTTCTAGGTACCGAGATAGAGCCGCTCCAAGTTTAGGAGGCTAGAGACGCAGACGACGAGACACGCTGCGTCTCTAACCTCGGAAACTTCAAATGACCGTATCTCGAGTTCTAGATGAGCTAGGAAGTTGGTTTTTGGACGGAATCGTAGGGTTAAAATGGATTTTCATATTAATTATTATAAAGCAAAAATTTTCTCGTTTATGCCAGTTTCTGTGATTTTAGGATAATTTTGAAAGTTAAGGTTGAAGCAAGTTGCAAGCATTTTTGTCGGTTGCTAGCTAGAAACAACCGTAACTTTCTTCGAAATTAAGATTTTGAGATGTTTTCAATTGGAACATGTAGATTTTGAAAAGCTCTACAAAATGATATAAAATTCAACTAGCTCGAACATTTTGACTTATTGGAATTTTCGAATTTTTCGTAAAAGACAAAGATAGATTTGGAAAAATTTCATTTGGTCGAAAAATATACAAAATTTCCTACAGATCTATTTAAAATTACATTTCTAGCGGTTCTAGGAGTCGAGATAGAGCCACTTCAAGTCTAGGAGGCTAGAGACGCAGACGACGAGACACGCTGCGTCTCTAACCTCGGAAACTTCAAATGACCGTATCTCGAGTTCTAGATGAGCTAGAAAGTTGGTTTTTGGACAGAATTATAGAGTTTAAAATGGATTTTTAGATTTAAAAAGGAAATTGAGAAAATTGAATAGTTTATAAAGCGGGAAAATCTCGATAACTTCTTACCTATCAATTTTCAGTTCCTCTCAATCCATTCCGACTATTTCAAAGTCCTGTTCTCTAATAATTTCAAGGAAGGAAGCTTATCAGAAATCGAAATCAATGACATCTCCTACGACGACTTCGGACTCCTTTGCAGCAGTTTCTTCCCAAATCTACAGTTTCCAAATGGTAGGTGTTAGAGATAAATATGAGAGAAGGATAAGGTCCTTTTAAAGGCGCACTTCTCAAAAACCAAAAGAAATACGAAAAATTGGTAAATTACAAAATTGAAGCTCTAGTTCTGTTTAATACACTCAGCGACTTTTAGCCAAATCGAAAAATTCTGAACTCCTTTCATAGGACTTCAAAGTTGACTACTTTCAGATGGCACCGTTGAGAAGCTTCTAGAATTGGGTCGTCGATTCTTATTGTCATATGTCATCAGAATTGTTGAATATCATTTAATTCACGGTTCAAAAATTGGAATTCCAAAAATGATATGGTTGGCTGATGAATATGGAATGGAGGAGCTTTTGGAGAAGTGTATCCGTGAGATGGATTCATTGGAGAAGGCCAAACAATTGAGGGAATCGGAAGAATTTGAGAAGCTGTCAGATACAACTAGATCTAAACTTTGCGGACGTTTGGCGGCACTTTTGTGAATTCATTTGAATTTTTTCTTTGATTTTTTGTTGTCTGGAAGTTTGATCCGCCTTGAATAATCAATATTTTTTTCCAAAATCATAATAATTAATCCATTTTTCTGTCTGAATTGTGTGTCATCTGTGTAGAAAGTACAATAAATTCTTGTTGATTATTTCAGTATTTTTCGTCTTTCTTGTATATATTCCAGCAAAATCAATTAGATCATCAAATTCTCCGCAGTCGATTACATATGGTCTCAAATTTTCATATCGATCCCTCTCCTCTTCTAGCCTTAGTTATAGCCATTCAAACAGTTGAAACAGCCCAGCAGAGCTGAAATATAACGGTTCCGCCCACTTTTTTCTGTATTGCTCACTGCTAATTTGTCTACGCCATTCGACTCTACTGGTAACTCGTTGTACATATGAAATAGCTTGCTCCGCCATTTTTGCTCTCGGCCTTTTTTCCTTTTCCGTCTTATCAGTTCTACTCTTCTCCTTGAACAAATATTTTTGACATTTAGTTTTGAAATTTGAGTAGCATGTGTGTTCGATTTCTCATTCTTTTTTTTTCACCAATGAACATTTTTGCAGTTTCAGATTTTGAAAAACTACTTTGAATCGGTTATCTGGAAGCTCTATTCTCGGTTAGTGCACTCTGAAATTTTCAGTCACAATTTTTCTCGATTTCTTTTACAAGAATTGAGATAAATTAGCTTAAAGTTAACAGTGCCAGGTCACTTCTGGGCCCAAGTTAACTTTAACTCGATTTTTCTCACAAGGGAAGTGTTTTCAGAGGGGCGTTGAGAATTAGCTCAAAATTTGTACAAAGGTACTTTTGAACATGCTGAATACGATTTCAGCAATATCTCGGTCATAACCCTAATAGGAACAAAAATATGGGCTCTCAAAGTGTTTTCAGTACTACATTTTGACCAAAAACGTGCATTTTTCGAGTTTTAAAACTCCTTTTCCAGGATTTTTTCAAGCGGGAAACTCTTTTTCGATCATTTCTCTATCATCTTAAATAATTTTTGTACAATTTCAAAAAAAATCATCATGGGGTACCCCACACTTTAAAAGTGATTTTTCGAGAAATTTTTTTGAAAGTGCAAAAAAGTCTTTCAAACATTCAGAAATGATAGAAACATCATTTTCACAGAATTTGGCAGCTCGATTTCGTCTGTGAGCCCTGATAATTCCCAAAATCTGATAATTGCAAGAAATTTGAAAAACTGTAAACACTTCTCTTGTTCTGAAAACACTTCCCTTGTTAGTTATAGCCATTCAAACAGTCGAAACAGCCCAGCAGAGCTGAAATATAACGGTTCCGCCCACTTTTTTCTGTATTGCTCACTGCTAATTTGTTTACGCCATTCGACTCTACTGATAACTCGTTGTACATATGAAATAGCTTGCTCCGCCATTTTTGCTCTCATCCTTTTTTCCTTTTCCGTCTTATCAGTTCTACTCTTCTCCTTGAACAAATATTTTTGACATTTAGTTTTGAAATTTGAGTAGCATGTGTGTTCGATTTCTCATTCTTTTTTTTTCATCAATGAAAATTTTTGCAGTTTCAGATTTTGAAAAACTACTTTGAATCGGTTATCTGGAAGCTCTATTCTCGGTTAGTGCACTCTGAAATTTTCAGTCACATTTTTAGATACCCCCCCCCCCCCTGTGACTCGAAGCTCCAATTTTAGGCTCATATTGTCGGAATAAAAAAAGTGAGACTCGGTGTTTGCGTACTTTGATTCCCCGCCTCCCCCCACCGACGCTCCGCCCATCGCTTTGCAAGTGCGGCGTGGTGTTTTGGCGCGCCACTTGGAGATGGATAAATTCTATGAAAATCTCAT